CTTTCCAGATCAGCATTTCCCCCTTTGACAAAGCAATGGAACAACACATTCCTGGAGAAAACTTACTGAACTAACTAACATAGGAGGCTAATGTACTGAACTGGTTTTTACATTCATTTTGGGTGTGGACAATACTGTTCTTAGGAATTCCTACAAGGGATCATGAATCCCAGAATGGTTTGGGTTGGAAGGGACCTAAAAGGTCATCTCATTCCCCCCCCTGCCATGGGCAGGGACACCTTCCACTAGAGCAGGCTGCTCCAAGCCCCATCCAACCTGAATACAGAATGAAAACAGCTTTATATTCATGCTGTTTGATTCCCTCATTCTCCTTGGAGGTGTGCTTTCCTGATCCATACCATCCTGATCAGCCTAGGTCAATGATCAAATACAGCAGGAAATCAGCTTAACAGCAGATGGGAATAAAAACATGACTCAGCTAAATGTAAAAGGAGAATTATTTCCCACTGCTCACCCAGAGCTTTCCCTTGCAGCCCTTATCTTTTGTGGCTTGCTTTCACTGTTATGATTTGGTTTTATAAGCAGAGCAATTAAACCCTTTCTCTCCACCCTTACACACTGAGTGGATTTGCTTCTAGGGAGTGTTAGATGCACTTGCACATGCTTGGTCCTCAGCTCTGCCCCAAATAGCCTGAGAGACAAAACTTGGAAAGGCAAAATTTATGATATATACAAGAAAATAGAGCACCAGTTGCCTAAATTCTAAAATGGATAATTTTAGGGATTCTGTTTTTTTGTCCTAAACTTGAGGTTCATCTCATAACTCTCTAAAACAACTTGCAGAGACCTGTCACTGCTGTCATCCTAAGTCTCTGTACTTTGCAGTGGAGGGCTCTTTGACCATCACAGTACACTGTGTCTCCAGCTTTCCCCTGATTTACTGTATGCACAGGCAAAGGCATCTTTTAACAGATTACTCCCTGAAGACTTTTCTTCCTCTTCTCAGAGACAATTTAACTTCTAAAGAAATACTCTCTGTACCTCTGTGATACTTGAATGAATTTTTCTCAAGTTGGTTAAAGCTGTAGTGTATTCCAATAGCTTTACAGTGATCTGCAAATGTTCTTCAGTGAAAACTGCTGTGGCATTCCATGGCTGGGCAGGCTCAGTTTGGCTAGGATGACTAAGGTGGGGGTATCCTTTACAGCAGGAGTGGGTTTTTTGGTACAAACTCTGTTATCAAATGCTCTCTCTCTCTTCTAGATACATTCAGCTGTGGGAAAAACTGGCATTCAGTGGGTTTCCATGACAGCAGCTGAGGTAAAACTAGCCCAGCTCTTCCAAAGGTCGTTCACTGAAAGGCACTGATCAGAGAGGTTGATTTGGCAATGTGATTATGGGAGAGCAAAGAACAGAACTGCAAGATCCCTTGGTTATCATAACCAAGGAGAAATGCAGTGGAGGAGAAAGGGGAAGAGGCTGCAAGTCTGTGATGGTGAAGAATTACAGGGGCTAGTAAGTTGCTTTATAAAGACATAAACACAAATATTAACAGTATATGCCAAAATGAGCTCTGACAAAAAAGTGCTGTACTCTCAAAGAGGGGACATAGGAAGTTGCCTTGTGTCATAAATGCAGAGAGTCAGTGAAGGCAGTAAGTTGATTTGGGCTTGGTATTGTACTGATAAATGTGCAGCATCAGTTGCCTCAATCCTGGCAACTA